TTATTTCTGTTTTAGAAACTCATACCCACAGGTACTTTATACAAAAGCCAGAGAACCTGGCAAGAATATACACAAACGTGTTTTGATGAAGTTCCTGTTATCCAACAGTGCTTAATCCCAGATCTTGATTTAGGCCATGTTGGCACTGACAACTGCCCCAGTGCCATGTCACAGGGGATTGTCTGGGACTCCATGGAAGTGCAAGAGGCTGCAAGATGTGGGTTACAGTCCTCCCTTTGGTTTAGTACTACGAGCTTCTCATTCTTTATTTCTGCCAGTTGCTTTGGCCTCACATATTAATTAGAGACCAATGGTGTTTTGAAGCACAGGAAAGCATTTAACTGGGAAAAGGTATGGATGAATCAGACATGACAAAACTATCAGTAAAGCAAGTGGTTTTCAAACTGTTCCATGAAAACCAGGGGTTCCATGACAGGTCATTAAAGGTTCCACAAAGAGACTGGGGTTAAAGGCCAAGCAGGCTGGGAGGCAGTGAGCCACCATTGCCACACTGTGTTGCTTGGCTCCACATCAACTCACACGGCCCATGGAGTCAGGGGTAAGACGTCTGCAGAAGTGATATGAAACAGTTCTGTGACTGGAAGAAGTTTGAAAACCACCAAGTAAAGCAAATGGTAGAAGTGATGACAAGTCTAATAAATGGCACTGGCTTGACAATCAATAATACAAGGTGTGGTTAATCCATAATATACAGCTCACATTAAAACAGAGCAGCGAACACCCATTGCTGTTTGTGAGGAATAAGTGACACTCTTTTCTCTGGGTTAGTAGTGAGCCAGTACACCAGCATCCTGGTAGGGACATGATGTAGTTGGAGGTGCCATCTATGCATTCAAGATTATACCCTAACACCTATACCAGCTATAGTTCCCACAGCAAATTCTGCAGGAACAGAAGTACTAGCTCCACTCTTCTAGGTTATTCCATTCTGCCATTGTCTGAATTCCCCTAGGTTTCCCCTGAAACTGAGCCTTAAGTTTCTGCAAGAAACTCCTCAGCGTTCTTGCATTACACCGTAATTCTCATCCCGAGTCAGTGACATACAAATCAGTTGGCCAGAATCAGGTAGGACTTGCCTCTCTCTTTTTCTTCTGGAATCTCTCTCCTTGCCCCTCTCTCGACTTCTCCTTCGTTTCTCGGGGCTTCTGCTGGCATCTCTCCTCTGTCTAGATCGATCAGTATCCTTAGAACTTCCACAGGATTGTCGAGAGTCCACTGATGCTGACCTCCTCTCTTCCTTTCTGATGGGGGAAAAAAATGCTCTCAGCTGTAACAAAAAGCTTCAGAATCACTGCGGCTATTGGAATACTTATCAGCTCCATCTAATCTGTTTCTGCTGAGCAAGTCTCTTGCAGCATTTCAGCGTGCAAGAGACTTTTATACAAATATTATAACGTTTGTGCTATTAAAAAGCTTGGAAATAAAACTTTTATTTTCGTTTTGGTTTCTCTCACATGACAAGCCACATTTCTTTTCCCCAAGTTCATTCTGCTGTAGAAGGCAAACAAATCAGATGTATGTTACCAATTACAAAGTCCACGTTGGGAATAATGTGAAGCCTTGGGCAGTGACACTGACAGTGATGTACATACATAAAGCATGCAGTAGAATTCCTGTTTTCTTTTTTTAAACCTCCTTACTTGTCAGTATTTCTCCAGTATACACAAATGCAATAGTAGGGCAAAGTGCCTAAGGGCACTTTAACACAAGCTCCAGTACATTCTGATTAGAATGTGTTGAAGCAGATTTGATTAAACAAGCTTTAGTTAAAGCACCCGTGCCATTTTGAAATGTGGGACACTGAATACACAAGACGTTGCATGTTGGTCCCAAGAGCCGCTCTAATTAAAACGTGCCCCCCCTCACCTGGAGAACATAAGTCTCTGCAACTAAAAAGGACTTGACAGGTTGTGAGGAAAAAAATTGAAGTATAAAATGTAGGTTTAGGTGCCACATCAGCTCTGTAATCACCCTGCAATTTGAAGGGGGTTTAACAACCATGTTTTTGAATGCTGTTCTCCAACTGTTCTTTAAGAGTCTCACAGTTAAGGCTCTGGACTGGGACTCAGAAAAGTAGTGTTCACTTCTGACTTTGCTGCCAACTGCCTACGTGATATTAGGAAAGTCAAGCAATTTCCACAGCTCCCCCTCTGTAAAGCACCCTGGATGCATTATTTCTCCCACCTCCTGTCTGTAAGCTCCGTAGGCAAGGGCTGTCATGGTATGTGTTTATACAGTCTACTTTGGTACCAGGTCTCTCACCCAACTCAGCATCTATCATACTGTTGCAGTATCGCTAAGAATGGGGGTGCTCTGCATGTCCTGGTTAACTGTGTCTTGTAGAGAAAGCATTTGGGTGTGTGATCTGAGGTGCATGTGTATTTGCTTTTACCTTCCTGAAGATTTTGCTGGAATGGAAGATTTTCCTCCTTCACACACCTCTGCATTGTCCAACCTACTCTCTTCCTGCCAGTGGCTGCTCAGTTCCTCCATGTGCACAGCAATCACATCTCGAATCACCTGGGAAGAGATTAGAAAAAGACCAAAGTAAATGAGAAGAAAACTTGCAGTTAGAAAAAAGACAAGAACTGGGGATTATCTTGACACAAGATGAGCTGTCCCTTTTGGTTCTCAGGCTAAACGATTACAAGAGGGGAAAAAGTAATTTGCTGAAAAGCACTCTAGTAAAAGCATTTGAAAGAGATCTTATATGAAGGTTGCTGGAACTTTCCTGCATAAAAAAACATTAAATGTTCAAAATAGCTGTAATGATTAGGGGTGCACTGACAGAGATTTTTTGGGCCAATACTAATGGCTGATTTTTAGGGAGACCGTACTGGCCAATACCTATCCGATTGCCAATATGTGGCCTGGCATCTTGGAGAGCAGCATCCAGCTGGTAAGACTGTTGTGGGAAAGGGGGGGGGGGGGAGGGAAGGGGTGTGGGGGGCAGATCAAGGTCCCCACAGTGAGGGAAGGAGTGGGGCTGGGGCAGGCGCTACATGGAATGGACCCATAGCTCATCTGGGGGCACAGGGAGGGGATCCTGTGCTGCATGTACCCTGGAAGGGCCTGGGCAGCATGTAACCCCAGATCTGCACGTGGGGTAAGGGTGGGTTGCTGCTGCAGGCTGGGGCCAGGGCTACGCTGGGCTCTTCCTGGCAGGGCAGGGCTGGACCAGGCTGTGCCCGAGGCAAAAGCAGTGCTGGGAGGTGGATACAGGGTGGCTACAGCCACTCCAAAATTTGCTGTAGCCCCCCCTCCCATTGCTGCTACCACCCGCCCCGAAAACAACCTGGCCCAGCCGCCCAGTGGGAAGAGCCCAGTGCAGCCACAACCCACAGTGGCAGCCCGCCCTCGCCCACCCCATGCACAGATCCAGGAGTGCACGCCTCCCATAAGCTCCCAGGGTGCATGCAGCAGAGGGAGCCACCCCCCACCCCCAAGGACGAGCTGCGCCCTGCCCCAACTGCGTAGCACCTGCCCCAGCCCCACTCTCTCCCTCACCATGGGGGCCTCGGTCTGCACCTCCCCCCACAACAGACTTATCAGCCAGACACTGCCAGGCTGTGCTCCTGGCCACCTGCATGTTGCACTGCAGCTGCATACATGCACGGGGGCATTTATCAGTGACATTATCAGCCACATCAGACAAAAAATGCTAACTGCCTATACTGTCAATTTTCCTTATATTGCTGATATGGGACAGATATATTGGTACACCTCTAGTAATGATGTATCTAGAACTTGTAACAAAACTTCTCTTTTTGAACCTAAATGTTTCTGTTAACCAAGCTAGCTCAGGAACAGAGACAATAAATTAGAATAATTTAATCTAATCTCACTGCTCACAGCTGAAGGACAAAAACCGCAATGGATAAGTAGGCACCTACTTAATTCATACCATGCTCTGGTGTGGACACTGGAGTAAGGGGTTAGAAGCCCTGAGGTTGAGAGTTTGAGGCCACAGAAAAACCGCTAATGGCATGACCATGTCAGACTCCAACAAATCTCTGAATTCTGCTAAATACTTTGTCACAGGGACACAAGAAAAGAAGGACCTAATTTATAGCTAGACATAGGAATTTCTGCAGTTTGATTGTGGTATGAAGGGCCGATTTCATGGACATTTCCTGGCAGCCCCACCCCAAGCTGCAGATTGGCAGAGAGGCCCCAGGATGAGGAAGGACAAGGGGGTGGCCACCATCTTAGCATGCTGGTAGCCCTTCATGCTCCCCCCACTGGGAAGCCTGCATTTTAAGTTTTTCTTTTTAAGTTGATTTTGTGGACAGTTGCGGATTTGGTGGTTTCCGCAAGATCTGCAACACAACAAATTAAGTAGGTCTCTCTGCATAAGGGGCTTGGATTTTTTTTAATTCTTTCACTTTTAAAAGCCTCAAGCATTAGTGATGAAATTGGGATAAGGAAAACAGAGTTTTAAGCCTCAACTATTTTTAAGTCACTTATGGCTTTTTTTCAAAGTTGGCAAATGAACAAATTACACACCAACCACCAATGACACTAGGAAACACTGGCAGCCTCCCCAGGGGAAGAAAGATGCTTTATAACATTAGCTGATCCTCTCAAGATCCATGCCACTGCCAGCATATTTATATAAATATTTAGTTGGGTTAAACCAGTTCCTTTTGAAGAATAGCTTTTTCTGCCTCAGCAGTATAATTAAAACAGCTCAAACTCATCCAAATGAGGCATGCTGGGGGGTACGTACTATGCTGGAACAAACACTCCAAAGTCCATAGGAGCACTCAGTCCCCTACTGGACACTCACCTCTGTATATGATTTCTTTGTTATATGAACATTCTTAGCTCTGTATGACTGCCGGCGTCTTTTATAGTCCCTCATTTCTGCCAGGATTTCCAGATGAGACTTTGGACCTTTCTGACTATCATCTGAAACAAAGCCAGGATAAAATAAATGGTTAGACAACTTCAAGATAAAACCAACCTTTGGTGCAACACATCAGAGCTTAAGACAGTGTAGCCCTTGTGTCTTAGAATACTGCTTTGAGCTACAACAGGTAAGTTTGTGCAGAGTTCTTGTAAACAGAAGTTTCTCCAGTATTACCCTTTATACCAGTGGTGGGTAACCTGCAGCACACATGCTGCAAGTAGTATAGGAACCTGGTGCAGTAGGCTTTAGGCCCAGGTGCAGAGTTAAAGGGGGTATCAGTGACAGGAGTTGGGGCTGGAGTAGCACTCAGAGAAGGGAAGGGCATTAGAGCAGCACTCTGGGAAAGGGTGGAAGCTGTGCTGGATCAAGGGTTGAACTCCACAGGACCAGCAAGGGAAGGTGGCACCAAATTCAGTGTTGCCACAGAGGCAATAGGATTTGACAGCACTAAGCAATGCAGGTGACCAATTACTAGAGTGACACTTGTACTCTGGACTTAACTTGGGGCACGCTTGTCAAAAAGGCTGGCGACCAGCGATTTATATCATGGCAACCTGTTTAGGGAGATGATGCAATTCCACAAGAGGGATGAAACACAAAACACCAAAGCAACTATACAACCCTTTAAAATGTGATCTCTGAGCCAGTCCATTACAGCAGCTTGCAAAAGAAAGTAACTCTGAAATACAGCCTCATTTTCAATTCCTGCATTACTGAGCTGTGGAAGTGTACATACAGAAGTCAAAGGGTGGAATCCTACAATGGGATCTGTGCATGGTAATCCAGAAGCACATACAATACATGTGCAGAGACAGTCTATGTGTTTGAGGAGAAACACATATTGGTGTGACCTAATAATAACTGGGAAAGTTGTGAGCTGCATTGCTGGTTTATTTCTTCCTCAGGAATTTCCTTTGTACCAAAAGGCCATGCATTATTCCTACGTTCAAATTCTAAATGTCAGTGCTCCATGCAGGATCCCTCATCTTGCCAAGATGAAAGCGGTAGACCAAAGAGAAGAGCCATAGTACTGCTTGGACCACAAAAGAGCAGAGGAAGGAGGAAATTGCAAAATTACAGCCAACAGGTAGGTATACACAGAATACTCAATTGCAGGAAGTTGAGGGCATCTTCTTGATTTTTTAAATGCCATCATTTTCTTTTTAAAGTAGAAAGTACAGAGTATTTGCAAACTCTTTTCTGGGATACTTTGCCACCTTTTTTGTCCTTTCGCTACACTACAATGACCAAACCTACAATTTTGGTCATTGTTGTACACATTCAAACGTTAATAGGCTTTCAACCAAATCCACCCGCCTGCACAAAGCAACATTTTAAGATGACAGACTCCAGAGCTGGATGACTTCTCAAACCTTGACTGATTTTAGCTGCCAAATCCACAAAAAGGTCGCTGTCATTTTCTGTGAACTGCGACCTGGACCGCTGTTTCTTTGTCTCTTCGACAACATAATCGTAGAGTGCAAGACGATCAGCTTGAGACAGGTCACAGATGAAACGTTTATGATTTTGGGGAACTTCAATTGGCAGCAAAGAACTAGCACCTAAAGATTGTAAGCAAAAAGATAATGTAAATTACTATCCAGCTCAACAGTACTTCACAAAGATAACATTGTGGGGAACAGCAACACCATGAATCTGAACTCTAATCATGACCTTTCCCCATGCAGCTGTAAGATGGACTTCTCTAGTCTCTCTGTATGTTGGTGGCTTAAAAAGCATGTTAGGGTATCTGATTCTAGGAGGTAAGTGGTATCTACTTTATGACATCATTGACATATGGGCTAGGGACAAAAGTTACACATAGGGTGTGTGTAGATGAAATGTGGGTCCTAAATTGAAGCAGTGGGTATTTAAAAACACCGCTTCAATTTAGGGTGAAGTAAACCCGTGTCATGTAGATCTGTGTCTTACCTGCCTCACCAGCAGTTGGGAGGGAAGTGCGAGCTGCCGGCGGGCAGAGCAGTCCCTGGGTTGGGCTGGGGGGAAGGCTGGTGCTTCCCTCTGCAGCAGCAGCAGCTCCCCCGCCAGGAGGCACCTGCCCACAGGCACCCAGCTCAGGCAGCCCCAGGGGGGTACCGCAGCCGCTGAGGGAAGGACCATGTCCCTGCGCAGCTCATGCAGGCAAGCATGCTCCAAGAGGGAAAAAAAGAAGAAAAAGATCAGGCTCATTGCTTTTTTTTTCCTTCTCCTTTGACGGAGCCTGCATTCCCTGGCTGCTGCCAGGCTGCCTGCACAGTCCCTGAGCCACATGGATCCCAGGGCTTTGCTCTGTGGCTGTAGGGGAGCAAACTAAAGCTCATTGGAGGTGTTTTAGTTTGCTGCGCCCCAAAGTCATTTAAGGTGCGTTATGCCGCTGAATGTGCTGTAGCAGCTGGAATTAACGTGCAATACGCCACCAACGCATGCAAACACCAACACCATTAAAGCAGTGCAAAAGCATTTCATAGATTTCATAGACATCAGAGCTGGAAGGGACCTCGGAAGATCATCGAGTCCAGCCCCCCGCCCCTAAGGGCAGGAAGTCAGCTGGGGTCATAGGATCCCAGCAAGATAAGCATCCAGTTTCATCTTGAAGGTGTTCAATGAAGGCGCTTGAACCACCTCCGGTGGCAGGCTGTTCCAGACCTTGGGGGCTCGGACAGTAAAGAAATTCTTCCTTATGTCCAGCCTGAAACGTCCCTTGGGGTGCTCTGGTGAACAAACGTTCCCCCAGATGCTGGTGGTCACCCCTGATAAACTTGTAGGTGGCCATCAGATCACCCCTGAGCCTGCGCTTTTTCAGGCTACAGAGCCCCAGGGCTCTCAGCCTGTCATCGTAGGGTCTGCTTCCCTGACCTCTGATCATGCACGTGGCTCTTCTCTGGACTCTCTCAAGCTTCTCCACATCCTTTTTGAATTGTGGAGCCCAAAACTGGACACAGTACTCCAGCTCCGGCCTCACTAAGGCCGAGTACAGGGGGAGAATGACGTCCCGGGATTTGCTTGAGAGACGTCCCGGGATTTGCTTGAGACGTCCCGGGATTTGCTTGAGATCATCGAGTCTGACCCCCTGCATAGGCAGGGAAGAGTGCTGGGTGCATCGGCGAACTTTGCCCCAAAGTTTGGTGTCATCGGCGAACTTGGCCAGTTCTGATCGCTTCTGACTCCAGTGTCCACATCATTAATGAAGATGTTGAACAGTATGGGTCCAAGGACAGAGCCTTGGGGGACCCCACTGGTCACAGGACACCACGATGAGTGACTTCCATCGATTACTACCCTCTGGGTCCGACCCCGGAGCCAATTTTCCAGCCAGTGGATCGTGGAGGACCCAAGGCGACAATTGGCCAGTTTCTCCAAGAGGCGATCATGGGACACCAGATCGAAGGCTTTTTTGAAGTCAAGATATATGACATCAATCTCTTCTCCCTTGTCCAGGTGATAGGTCACCTGGTCGTAGAAGGAAATGAGATTGGTCAAGCAAGACCTACCCGCAACAAACCCGTGCTGGCTATCCCTTAAGATGTTGGCGTTGGCCAGTCCATTAAGGATGGCCTCTTTAATAAACTTTTCTAAGATCTTCCCCAGGATAGAAGTCAGGCTGATGGGCCTATAGTTAGCCGGATCCACTTTCCTCCCTTTCTTGAAGATAGGCACCACATTGGCCTTCTTCCAGTCTTCGGGCACTGCACCAGAGCGCCAAGAGTTTTCAAAGATCCTTGCTAGAGGCTGGGCTATGATGCTCGCCAGCTCCTTGAGTACCCTGGGGTGAAGATTGTCAGGGCCGGCTGACTTGAAGGTATCCAGCTTCTCAAGATGTTCCTTCAGAAAGTCAGCATTAATGGAGGGCAGGGGATCGCCCTCACCCGGACTTCCCGGCCCTGTAGCGGGGATGGGCGTCCCATGGGACTGATGAAAGACTGACGCAAAGTACCTATTTAATAGGTTGGCTTTTTCCTGGGCGTCAGTTGTCAGTTGCCCCATCTGGTTTAACCCACTTTAAAGTGCCATGCACACATGCCCCTCGTTTCATCTACACACGCCCATAAACCAGTATGAAGTGATCAGAAACTGGTTCAAATCTGTATCACAACAGAAGTTCAGTGCACATAAACCACTTTCAAAATGTCCCAAACTGGTTTATGATAAACCTGCATAGATGTAGTATCAGACTTCCCTGATTTAGGTTAAATTGGTTCATAAACTACCATCAAAAGGCCTCCAAGCTTCTCTTTGGGTGCTCTTCCCTTAGACATTTATCTGGGTAGCCAAGAGGGCTCTCCTCCAGGGATTATTTGAGGGAAAGA